CAGTTTCTTTCTTGCTTTACAGCATTTTGGCTAATGAAAGATTTCATAGGAAGGTTGTACTTTCAGATAGTGGGGGAAACATATACGTGGTCTGACACTAGTATAGACGGCAATGGGAATCTCAGTCAAGTTTTTCATTTGAATCCATGATGTTTTGCCGAGCTCACCGGAATTTAAACCTGTATTCATCTACCCTGGAATTATTGGCCTCTTCCATAATAAGATGGGACTTAATTTTTTTATGGTCTCAATAAAACATTCAAGTAATTACATAGTCCCATTCATACATAGCTGTTTTGCAAATGGCATGATGTATCACAAAGTGAGTAACAGTGATTCTGGGAAGAACATGATTAGTTGCCTCATCTCAAGGAGTGAAGGTCCTGGAGAACTATACTACTCAGAGGTCAACCTTCCTCTAGCACCTTTACGTCTGTTTCAAATATAACTGATCCTACCTCTGTTCATCCATATTTCCCGGTCTTGCCCTGTACCTGAGGTTTAGATTTATTCATATTGGTCTCATCCCGGTTCAGTTCTCTAGGTTTGTTTTGAAAAGAATTTCCTTCCTTCCTTCCTTCCTTCCTTCCTTCCTTCCTTCCTTCCTTCCTTCCTTCCTCCTCCTCTTCTTCTTTCTCCTTTGGACTCATAGACACCTTATTCTGGAGTCCCAAACATATTCTCCTCAGTTTCCCAAGAATCCTAGGCAGTAGTTTTCCCAATTAGAATTTGCTTCATAATCCTCTGGGGGAACTTGTAAAAACTACAGATCTCAGATTTTACTTAGTCTGATTGATTGGAATCTTTCTAGTTGTAAAAGATATAATGGAAGAATAGCCGGAAACTATTCATTCATTTTTCATTCAACAGTTTTTGAATGGAAAAAATTCAGTGCAATGTTCCTGGCTGTGTACTAGGTGCAGAAGAAGATACAGATGTAAATGGAAATGAGTTTTGCCTTTTAAGGGATTTATAGTCCCTTAAAGGTGGGAGGTAAGTGAGAAAGATGAATGGATAAAGAAAGGTGCTAAGGCACAGAGGGAGGATTTAATTTGCTCTTGAGACTTGAAGCAGATAATTAGGGACAGGAATTTCCTGGGAAGAGAAAGACACGCAAAGCAGAAATACCTTATGCAAAGGAATGGAGATGTGAGTGGGGGTAGGGGTAGCATGTACTGGGAACTGCAGGGAGTTCCTCATGCGTGTATGGAGAATGAGAAAACAAGAAGCAGAAGTGGCTATAAGTGGTAAAGGAATAACACAAGAAAATTTCCCAGAATTAAAAGATGTGAGTTCAGGGGCACCTGGGTGGCTTAGTCGGTTAAGCGTCCGACTTTCGCTTGGGTCATGATCTCGCCGTTCGTGGGTTCGAGCCCCGCGTCGGGCTCTGTGCTGACTGCCAGCTCAGAGCCTGGAGCCTGTTTCAGTGTGTGACTCCCTCTCTCTCTGACCCTCCCCTGCTCACGCTGTCTCTCTCTCTCTCCTAGAAATAAATAAAACATTAAAAAAAAATTTAAAAAAAAAAATGTGAGTTCACTGCGAGTACAGGCTGAGAGAGTTCACTGAATGTCCTACCAATGAATGAAAAAGACTCCTTCCTTATTTTAAAGTTTTTAATGTTTATTTTTGAGAGAGAGAGAGAGAGAGAGTGAGAGAGAATGAGCACACAGCAGGGGAGGGGCAGAGAGAGGAGGAAACACAGAATCAGAAGCAGATCCAGACTCTGAGTGGTCAGCACAGAGCCTAATGTGTTGCTCGAACTCACAAACTGCTAGATAATGACCTGAGCCGAAGTCGGATGCTTAACCGACTTAGCCACCCAGGCGCCCTGAAAAAGACTCATTTCTAAACATGTTCTATTAATTTCAGCTTCTAGAAATGAATACAGGGTCCTAAAAGCTTTCGGAGAGAAATAGTGTAAAAAGGATTAGTTACCAGAGCAGTATCAGGCTGCTTTACAGTCACATTAGAAATTAGAAGACTATGAAGTAATACTTTTAAAATTATAAGGAAAATTATTTCCTACCTAGAATTGCAAACTCAGCCAGGCTACCAATGAAAACATTTTAAGACATATAGATTCTCAAAAAAATTACATTCTGGGTACTCTGTTAGGTTGCTAATGGGAGATACACACTGTCAAAACAGAGAAACCAGGGGATTCAAGGCCTGAGGTTCTCACACAGAGGAGAAGGTAAAGGAAATTTTAGGAAGAAGGGAAGTCCCAGTCCAAGTCAGGCCTAGAGAACAACCATTGCAGCCAGATTGAATCAAAATAAAGAGTATAGGAGGAATGTCTTTAAGGAAAAAATAGAACATCCTCCTCCAAATTACTCAATATTTTTATTTTACTGAGAGGAGTTTTGCAGTTCTTGGGAGAGTTTAATGAGGTGAATAAGTGCTAAGTATATAAAAAGCTAAGCAAACAACAAAAACAGAGCAACTAATAACCCTAGGAGAAATAAAAAGTTATCCAAGAAAGGAATATTCATTGAATCCTACACCGCATTCCTAGGAAATATTTATTTTGTCAGACTACTATTGACTTAACGGTTACAATATAGTTGGAAGCTGGGAAGATTGGGCCAGTGTGACATATTTCTTTGCAAGGAGGTAAAGGGAATGTGTAAGAACTAAATCCTTTTCTTCCACAGAAAGAAGTTAATAGATAATATCTGAAATGGAACAATCAAGAAATAGCAATATGATCACACTTTTTAGAAATATGGAGGTAAATAGAAAAAAATGCTAAAGAAGTTGAAATTAGTTCCCTCTGGAGAGAGAATTGGGTGTGGGGAGGGGTGGAGCAGGAGAGTTCTATTTTTTTATTACAAGCTTTGTAGTCCTACTTTATTTTTATGCTTTGATAAAAATAAAAGCAATTAATAACAATATAGATGGACCTAGCATCTGTGACACAGGGAATCTTGCAAGCAGTGCTTTGCCTTTTATTGAACAAACTTTTTAGGTTGCATATTCTATGTACCTACTTTGGCACATTCCGAGATGTTATCCAGATTTTCTTCTTTTCTATGATTAACTGAATGTGAATTGAAACAAAAGTTAGTAAGGTAAATTGGTGACTTACATATGTATGGACTAACTATGGGCTTCCCCCCTACCTCTCCACCCCTGTATTTTTGCCTGGACAGTAAGCTAGCTTTTAAACTTTAGAGGATAAACAAACAGTCCTCTCTCTTGCCTTCTCCCCAGAGTAGAGCAGCGTTTGACTTTAAAGAAATCAGCATTCTTGGGGTGTCTGGCTGGCTCAGTAGTACAGCATGTGACTCTTGATCTCGGGGTCGTGTGTTCAAGCACCACGTTGGGCAGAAGGCTTACTTAAAAAAAAAAATCAGCATTCTTCAGTGACATGATGTTCCTAAAATGGGATTGCTAGTCAGCTGCACATTAAGATCTCTGAACTGACTGCAGACATCACTCAGCAAAGCTTCAAGTTGTTTGTGAAGAAATTTTGTCAATTTTATAGATACAAACTGTCCCCTCCACGTTTTTATTTTGAAAATAATCAAACCCCACAGAAAAATGGAAAGAATAGTGAAACACTCCTATAACTTTTTCCTAGATTTACCAGTTCTTAACATTTTGTTACATTTGCTTCCTCTCTCTCTATACCTGTGCCCTGTTTTTGGAGAGTAAGGGGGGTTTGAACCATTTGAAATTAAGTAGTAGGTATAGTGCTTAAATATGTCTCCCAGTATATCTCCCAGTAACAAGGACATCTTCCTACCAAACCAGAATACTATTATCCATGGGTAAGATAATACCTGATACATAGTTAGTATTCAGATCTCCCTAAAATCCCAATAATGCTTTCTGTGGATTTTTTTAAGTTCCAGAATCCAGTCAAGTGGTCATTCATTGCATTTAGTCATCATATTTAAATCTCCTTATGCCAGAAGTTTTCCTGGGTTTTTGTTTTTTTTTTTTTTAAGTCTTTCATGACTTTTCCAGTTATGGAGAGCCCAGTTTTTTTTGTATACCTATGGATTTGTCTTTCTGCACCCTCACTGTGAGACTCTGGTTTACAATTTGGTAAGAATATGTATACAAACTTTTCTTCTCCATCTGCTTTTTATGCAGGTTCAACATTTTAGTGCCTTATTTTCTCACTTTGTTTGTATGTTTTTGTTTTGTTTTTTTCCTGCGAATCTGCAGTTTGGCAGGGGGTACAAAGAATGACCACTTGCCGGAGAATAGTACAGCTCCTTAGACTGCAGAAAATATCACTGTAATAATCTTTGGGAGAGGTAATCTGTTCCTCTGGAAACAAACATAATATTTTTTTTTTTTTTTTACATTCTTGGCAGAGTTCTTTGGATGACTTAATATATTGTAATCAAGGGCAAATTTTCTCCTCTTTAATTAAGCCCTGCTACAGTATACAGTCCGGGGTGCCACTTGTGGAAAACACTTGGCCAGCTTTTCTATCCCCGAGCTGAACGCTTGCTTCTGGAATCTAAACACTGGATGTGTGTTCCGTGTGCAGCATTTGGGCTCTCCTTGGGGCAGGATGCTCCGTTGCTTAGGTGATGTATATTTTGTGTGAAGTGAGCACACCATGGGAGAGCCGGCATGCCTCACATGCCCGGAGAACTATGCAAGCTCGCTGTGGAAAGCGTGCCTCCCGTGTGTCAGGCCTTCCTCTTAGACCCGGTGACACAGTAGCCTTTAGGCAGAGCTCCTCGGGATGTGCAGGAAGCGCCGCCACAGGTTTTGTCAGGGGGGAAATCTGAGCCTTTGCTCTGCGAACAGCTGTGTTTCGGAGTCTGAACAAGTTGTTGTCGACTTTTGCACGGGCGGCCGGGGTAAGTGTTTTCATTTCGATTTGTTTAGAGCCTTGTTGTCCTTGCTCCTGAGTCCTCAGGGTTCTTTCTGGAAGTTTCACAAGTTTCATAAGTTACACATTATCTACAGTGGGATTCAGAGGATTTGTTCCAGTGTATTTATAATCCAACTTTTCTTTTTCTTTGTCTCTGCAGATTTTGCGGAAGTCTAATACTTTGTCATTATGAGATGTCGTCTCTCGGTACCTCCTTTGTGCAAATTAAATTTGATGACTTGCAGTTTTTTGAAAACTGCGGTGGAGGAAGTTTTGGGAGTGTATATCGAGCCAGATGGATATCACAGGACAAGGAGGTGGCTGTAAAGAAGCTGCTCAAAATAGAGAAAGAGGTAAGGCCTTTCCCTGCTGTCAGAAATGGTGGTGATCGTGCTTATGTAAGCTTTTCTACCAAGTCGGAGGTCACAGGCTGTCAGGGACCTAGGGCCTTTGGGGCCCATCCATGAGGCTGTTTCCCAGTTTCCATTCTGGGAGCCCCATAAATAGAAATCAGTGCTGCGTGTGCTTTAGGGTTGAGTTCTAGGGGTCATCTGCACGGAGAGTGTTTTCTTCCATGGCACAAAAGACCCGAATGTTCTCTGAGCTCTCTGCTGCGAGGGGAAGGGGAGCTTTCAGACCTTTCTTGGCTTCAGGCTCTTCTTTGCCCTAGGTCGGCCAAGAGGGGTCAGTAAAGAGTAATGTGTGAGCATTTTATTCTCTATTTTGGTTTTGTGAATCTGTGGTCATCAGAAGTTGTCTTTTAAAAAAAAAACACAATATTTTTCTACTGAAATATAAACAACACTAGCTTCTTGGATTTCACCTCTACTTGAAGCCAACAGTGATTGATGGTCTTTGTTTAATAAAGAATTAATAGATGCTGGACAGAGAGCTGCCCTATTTGTAAAATCAGAAAAGGGTCTTGGCTTCCAGAGTCTGGGGCTTAGGCTAATCCTGGTGGGTCCTTCATCTTCCTTAGGAATATGACACAGCTTGGTCCCCATGTTCAGTCTGGTTCTTGGAAGATGAAGATAATTGTGGAGCTGACCTGCAGGGGCTCCGTGGCATTGATAGCTTTTAACAGCTACCCTCTGGAGCTTGTTTTGGTCATTTCTATTTATGTTCTGTTTTGGCTAATTATTGGGGTTTTTTTAATGTCTTTTTTTTAAAGTGAACTTTTCTATAAATGTATTTTAATCTCCCCTGAATGATTCCATTTTTTTCCCATTAACTGCTGTCAGTGAACCGTAGCAATTGATTAGAGAAGGAAACCCAAACGGCAGCACTTTGTGGCGTTTCCTCCCAGCAGTGCTCTGTGACTGTGTGATCACCAGCTGAGTTTCCAATTGTTGAAGCCAGGTCAGAAGGACTAAGCTATTTTTGCCTTAGGGTACCTAGAGGTTGTGGAAAGCATTAAGGAGCAATGGCTTTTAATGCCTGTGTGTGCACAAAATAGAAGTGTGCTTTGTAGAAAAAGTTTCCTCCCCTTCATTTCTTGACCAACACATTTTTCATAGTAGCCAAATAGGAAAACCACTTCTTACTCCAAATGGAACCTAGCTTCTTTTATCTAGTGAACTCTTAAGTTCTTTATAGATAAGCATTATTGTACCCATTTTATAGATGGAGAAATAGAGGTTTGAAAAACCTATTAAGCTACCTCAGGAGGGGCAAATGAATTCCAGGAAATCAGACCCCCTGTCCTATAGTTCTTAACTCTGAAACCTGTAGTTGACTAGGTTAGATGGAAAATAAACCAATTCCATCAAATCCATATTCAAAAAAGTATACGAGCACGCTAATATTTGTAAGCATTAGGTCATGCAGTTTCAGAACAACAGGCATGTTCTTATATGATTGTTGGGTGTGAGACTTTTTGAGTCATGGAACAGATTTTGACAGGAAAACAGTAATTGCCATCTATTCATTCCATGCCCATCCCCTCCATACTTAGTGCCTTTGTGTTGTTTTTTATTTTTATTTTTCCTAATCTTTAAGAAAGCCAGGAGAATGACCTAGGAAAGCACAGGAAAGAAGGCAGGAATTGGAAACTGCCAAGTCCTGCTCTTGTGGAGATATTTAAGCTAAATGGTTATCATTCAGAAATTGATTGGATTATAGTAAAAACTGTAGGAGCATAACTCCTAAATTTTAGGAAAAACAGAAACTCAGTTTCAGCTTTGGAGCTTGGATTAATCAGTAATTGTCAGTGGTAAAGAGACCTAGTAAATTATTGCAAAGCATCCCCCCTTTTTGAATCAAATGATGTAAAAAATTTTGGCTAGGGGTTGGGAGGTATTGGAAAGGAAATAGGCATTTCTTAGTTTGATTTTTGTTCTACTTTGTGAACTATGTGTTGGCTTGCTGGCTGGGTGTTTTCTAAGTAAGAGAAAGGCAATAAGCTCTGGGTTTTTTTCCCAAAGTGTAGATTCAGTCTTCTGTTACTTGGTCATTTTTTGCAATGAGACATATCATTAAGATATGTTTGCAGCTCATTCATGTACCTAGTTAAGAGTGACTTGATACCTGATTAAATATATGTTTTATGAACTTAGTGAAAGGTAGAGAAAATATTTACCAAACTCTTTTAACTTTGCTAATGTGAGAGGATAGAAGAAGGCTTTTTGTTTTCACTTTTTTTGGTAGACCTCTAATTTAGTGAGTATGTATTACTTTTCTCTGCTTTAGTGAGTATATATTACTTTTTTAAGTTAGAAGAAAAGAAAGAAAAATGGAATTTACCTAAAATATGGGTAGTTTTTTTTTTTTGAGTTCCAGATTGCATTTTATTTATTTAATTATTTATTTTTATTTTTAAGGTTTTTTATTTATGTAATCTCTGTACCCAACAAGGGGTCTGGACTCACGACCCTTAGGTCAGGAGTCACATGATCCTCCAACTGAGCCAGCGAGGTGCCCCAAGACCTCTTTTTGGCTTATCTATACCATGGAATACTACATGGCAATGAGAAACAATGAAATCTGGCCATGTGTAGCAACATGGATGGACCTTGAGGGAGTTATGCTGAGCGAAATAAGTCAGGCAGAGAAGGACAAATATCATATGTTTGCACATATAGGAGGATTAGGAGGAACTTAACAGAGGAACAAGGGGGAGAAGAAAGGGGGAAATGGTGGGGGAAAGGGAGAGAGGCAAACCATGAGAGACTCTTGAATGCTGACAAAAACTGAGGACTGATGGATGTGGGGGGGAGGGGGGATGGGCATGGAGGAGGGCACTTGTGGGGATGAGCACTGGGTGTTATGTGGAAACTAATTTGACAATAAACTATTTGTAAAAAAAAAATATATATATATATGGGTAGTTCTTAATTTAAAAAAAAACTTTTATACCTAGGGAAAAACCTCCAAGAACAGTACCATGAACTCTAACATATCTTTCCCTAGAATCGCCACTAACTAACATTTTTCGGCATTTACTTTCTCTTTATATATTAAGTTGTATGTATTCATATTTTATTGAACCATGAGAGTAAATTGTAGATGCTATGTATATAACGTCTGTAAGGATTTCAATATCTCCCAAGAACGCAACCATAATACAACTATCAAATCAGAAAATTTAACATTGATGCAATAATATTACCTATCTTGTAGTCTATATTCAAATTTTGCCCGTTGTCCCAATAAGGCCTTTTTATGGCAGTTTTTCAGCCCAGGATCCAATCAGGACCACATATTGTGTTTAACTGGTGTATCTATTTTAGTCTTCTTTAATTGAACAGTTTCTCGGCCTTTGTCCTTTAAACTTTGACCTTTTTGAAGAGTACAGGACTGTTGGGTAGAATGGCCCTCATTTTGGGTTTATCTTATTTTCCCTTTCTTTTGCCTAGTTTAAGATAATGTAGTTTTGGTAGGAATATTTCATAGGTCATATGCCCTTGGTATATCTTAGTGGGAGACTATGATGTCCATTTGTATTGTTATTGGTGATACTAATACTTTTGATTAAGAGGGGTTTACCCAATTTTCCTATAGTAAAAATACCCTTTTCCCCCTTTGTAATTAATAATTAAGCTGTTGGAAGATATTCTGAGGCAAGTAAATATCTTCTTTCAACAAGCTTTACCCAATGTTTTTAGCATCTATTGGCAATTCTTGTTTCAACCAGATGTTGTTATGACAGCTACTATGTAGAAAGAAAAGTTCTAGCATAAATGAGATCATTCCTTTCTTATTCACCCATTCATTCGTTTATTCTTGCATTGTAGACTTACGGATTCTTTTTCAAATTGGAGATGTTCTGTTATATTACTATTGTTACTTTCATGCTTAAATTATCCAGATTAAGCAAGTAAGAGTCCCTTTAAATTAGCTCCTTTGCCCTTTTGATGTGTCTCCGTCACTCTTTAGCATTTTTTTTTTTTTTTTTACTTCCTGGCACAAGAAGATATTCCAGGCTCATCTAATTCCTACCTCATTCCTGGGATCAGCTGTTTCTTCAAGAAGCCCTGATCCAGAGTACCTGAATTGGGACTATGATATTTAGAAGCCAAGATTTGGAAACTAGTTTTTCATATTGTAGACTTTCTTTTAACAAAGAGCCTTTGTTCTTTGGGAGAAAGAATAGTTATAAACTTTACTTATGGAAGCATTTAATTCACATTAGCAATGATCTGTGATATGCTCCTGTTAGGAGTATAAATTGGTAAGCTTTTTGGAAAAAGATCAAAATGTATCCAAAATTTTAAAATATTTCCTTTCTTTGAACCAGAAATTTTGCTTCTATGACTTCATTCTAAGGAAGTAATCAGAAATATGCAGAAAGATGGATACGATAGCTGCTCATCTCAGATGGATAATGGTGAAGAACTGGAAAAAGCCCAAGTGTTCTTTAACAAATTATCCTTTAAATTATGCTACATCTCTCTCTCTCTCTCACACACACACACACAAAAGCAAATATGGGAGGTGATAGATGTGTTACCTCCATTGTGTGAATCCTTTCAAGATGTATACGTATAGTAAAATCATCGTGTCTTATACTTTTAAAATATTACAAATTATTTGTTGATTATACCTCAGTAAAGCTGAAAGAGTATTTTACCTCTGTATAGTAGAATTCCATTGCATTTGGGAGAATATTTAAAAAGCTGGGGGAATGCTCATTATGTATTCCTAAGTGGTAAAAGCAAATTACAAGCATATATAGTAAGATCCTGGGTGGCTGCTTGGTGTCTGTATGGTATTTTTATTTTACTTCCTTTGCTTTCCATAGTTTTCTCTGATCTCACATTTCCTCCCAACATTTTATTATGAAAATTTCAAACATAAAGAAGTGTTGAAAGAGTTTTCTAGTGAACAACTACATATGTGCCATCTAGGGTCTGTC